GGGGGGGGGGGGTGAGGTTGGGCTAGGGCTGCACTTTGGACAGGCAGTGCTGGGAGGGAGGCTATGGGAAATCCTAGGGTGGCTGCACCCTGCCACGCAGCCCCCTCCCAGTGCCACGGCTGCCCACCCCAAGTGCAGCCTGGCCCAGCCCCTACCAGGAAGAGCCTGGCACAGCCCTGGCCCCAACTCGTAGCTGCAGCCCACCCCACCCGTGCCCCACACAGACTCATGGGCACACCCTCCCCCCCTCCATACCCTGGAGTGTGCACAGTGGTAGGAGCCACCTCCACCTTTGCCTCTAGGATGAGCCACAGCTCCATTCTGTGCCCTGTCCTGCCCTGGCTGGGCAGTGCCTGCCCCAAGGCCCCTGCAGTGAGGGAGGAGTGATCTGCTCCCCCACTGCCCCTTCCCTCCCCCCTCCCTTTCCACCACAACAGACTTACCAGCTGCATGCTGCTCTCCAGGCTGTATTGGAAATTGGATCAGTGTTTGCCAATATGCTTCCTTAAAAATCGGCTATTGGTATTGGCCCTCAAAATCTCTATTGGTGCACCCTGAGGTGCTACACAGCACTTTACATATTCAACTATGCACAATCACTTCAGTTACAATCACAAGTGCTCAGCATTTCTGCAGTCTGGTCTATGGTATCTTAAGTCACTCCACCAGAAAAAGAGGAACACACAATTAACAGTCCTTGTGACTTACCAGCATCATCTAGGAAACATATGGCAAAGAGAGGCATAAAATCCAGTTCTCTAGGATTCAGGGATCTATGTTGTAGCTGTGTTGGTCTGAGAAAGAGAGATGAACAAAGCTCTTGGGTCAGAGGCGATATCTTTTATTAGACCAACTAAATAGTAGCAGAAAAATTCCTTTCTGTGCAAGCTTTCAGGCGTGTGTACATGGCCCCCAACAACTCACCAAAACTAAGTGGTCCTCCAGCCCAAATAATTGCCTACTCCTGGCCCAGATCTTTTAATGGTTTTCTTTATTCTTAAAAACTATGAATGAATCACAAGGGAGCCAAATAAGGGTTGGCAGGGCAACTTTAATTCTAGCATTTACCAACTTGAGTGCCTGACTTTGCAAGTTGAGTGTTACTTTAACATCTGTGAAAAGTAATATCCTAAATTTTAAATAAGCAAACCGAAAAAAAAGGAAATCCAACATGTGGAACCCTAACTCAGAGGCACATTTAAGCTAACAGAGTAACTGGAAACAACAGTAGTCTCTTATCCTGTATATGGAATGTCTGCTTCAGTAAAATGAGAAATCCTTAATAGTGTACATCACAGCTGCAAAGTACTAGAATATGGAAGCTCAGAGATCCAGAGGCTTTTTCTGGGGTGCACCAAGAGAGACTTTTGGGGCCTATACCAACAGCCGATTTTTAAAGAGTTATATTGGCCAATACTGATCCAATTTCCGATACACAGCCCAGCAGCTTGAAGAGCAGTGTCCGGCTGGTAAATCTGTTGCGGTGGAAGGCGAGTGGGAAGAGAAGAGGCGTGGGGGGTGCAGATCAAGGACCCTGCAGTGAGGGAGGGAGTGGGGCTGAGACAGGCACTGCCCAGCTGGGGCAGGACACGGAATGGAGCCATGGTTTGTCTGGGGGGCACAGCTCCCACTGCTGCATGCACCCAGGAAGGCATGGGGGTGGGGCGGGTAACCCTGGATCTGCTCAGGGCGGGGGCGGGCTGCTGCTGCTGCAGGCTGGGGTGGTGCTGGGCTCTTCCTGGCAGGGGCTAGTTCTTCCTGGCAGGGGCTTAGCTCGGGGCGGGCAATGACAGCACTGGGAGGGGGGTACAACCACCCCAAAATTCCCCGTAGCTCCCCCAATCACCCCCCACCCCCAGCACTGCCACCTGCCCCAAGTGCAGCCTGGCCCAGTCCCTGCCAGGAAGAGCCTGGTGCAGCCCTGGCCCCAGCC